TGATTAATTGCTTTATTTTTGGTCCGAAAAGTTTTCAAAAACACCACAGTTCTGACTCACAGGCTCGTCTTGGTAAAAAATATTTATCGAGTACATCTAAATTTGGAGTCACCAAAACAAATATTTTTGACACAGATTCCGATGAATTTGTCAGTATAAAAGACGAACTGGCTATCGTTAGAATCAAATCGTGTTCACTTCGATCCATTGGAAGTCAGCAGTAAATTCAAATAGACTTAAACTATCAAAAAAAGTATTCGACATTTGAATAAAATGGCTCATTTTAAAAGCGCAGTTGTATTGTGTTCGGTGTACTTCATTGCTGGTGCTTTGGTAAGTGATTCTTGTTGTCGACATTACAGATAATAAAATACTAAAATNCCGGCGCTCTGGTAAGTGATTCTTTTTGTCGACAATACAGATGTACTAAAATTGATTATATTTGTAGGGTCTATTGAAAACGGAAGATAAAACTAAATGTGTCGATATCATGAATAGTATGCAGAACTTATCATCTGAGGTAACTTGAAAAATTATACATTGTCTAAAAGTTTAATAATTCATATTTTTTTTATTCAGGGCAAGAATATTGTAAAAGCCTTATTAAACCATGACCAAGATGGAGATGGTAATTTTGACAAAAGTGAAATCGATGCAGTTTGTGATAACGATTTAAAAGGATATGCAGATATAAGTAAAATCAAGGCAAATTTGAATAAAAAGTTGGAAACACAAGATATGCTTACATGCAATGAAGTGTTAAATGAATTCACAGAAAAGTCAACGTCATAAATGTCGAGCGAATGCTCAAAGGTAATAAAATATAGCGTCTTAGTGTTGTAAATATTAATTACTTTTGAAAACTGTCAGTTATTGTCCAGTGATTTTGCTCATTGGTTTTACTTGCATGGCCATCCTAATATTTATGTGTTTTTTGTTTTCATTTCAGGCGGTCGTTCAATTTTTGAAGATCTACACGAAATTCTTTTTACTAATTTAACTAAATTTGATGTTTTATTTTTTCGCACCTATTGTAATATACAACACATTTATGAATGCATATATATATATTTGAGTTTTATTTTTACAAAATCAATAGACTTTGATTCCCTGGTTGCCAAAACATCTATATTGTCCATAATGTACAGAGACTACTTTACCAGACTTCTCTAATAGAGAAAGGTAAAACGTCAAATTGTAGTATTTTGTGATCAACGACCAAAAAACATTTAGATAAATGATCAGGTTCTAAAAAGTAAAAAGTATAAATGTCAAATTAATATTGGGGTCGATATTGGGTAAATAATGATATTCTTTTAATACAGACTTAGTTATAGCTACATTGTAAACACTAAAATAAAATATACAGTTTGAGAGTTACAATAGTATTTTGAAGATTGGGTATCGTATTTTTTCTATACACAATGATAATGGTTCAAGCCTATTTCAATTAAGCCGGTAATTTTATGATCTGTATTTTGTGTATACAGAGTGTTTTTTTTATCATAACCCACTCAATTATTTGCAGAATAATAATAATTTAAACATTTTTTTTTTTATTATCTTTAGTTACACATTATTCTTGAATTTTTAACTATGTAATAACTTTTAAGTTCATCCCTTATGCCTTGGAAGGGGGTCAACTTTGTTTTTTAAATGGTAACACATATTTTTAATTTAATAAAATTTTGGAGTTTTTAATTTAATAGTAAATGGCTTTTGAATTTTTGATATAACTTTATTAGCTTATTAGATATAAACATTTAAAGTTTCAAAATTTTGAATTAATATACATGTATAATACACAAAGGATTACAAATATAGGTAGCTAATTGGTTTTTTATAACATCGATATTAGCAGGTACACAGCATTGTTATTATCAATTGTAGGAAGGCACATTGTTATGAGTTTATAAATACACCAACTGACAATACAGAAAGTATATCTATTGATAGTAATAATTGATAATAAACAATCCGTGACTGAGACAGCAATGTCATAAAAATCCAATTAGCTACCTGTATTTACAATCCCATGTGTATTATACATGTATATTAACTCAAAATTTTGAAACTTTAAATGTTTATATCTAATAAGCTAATAAAGTTATATTAAAAATTCAAATGCNACTTTAAATGTTTATATCTAATAAGCTAATAAAGTTATATTAATAATTCAAATGCTATTTACTATTAAATTAAAAACTCAAACATTTTATTAAAATCAAAATATGTGTTCCAATTTAAAAAAACAAAGTTGACATTCTCACAAGGCATAAGGGTTGAACTTAAAGAGTAAATTTTTAGTTATCTGCGAAAGGTGTATGTAAAAGGATGCACTAGATCCAAGTTCGTTTGGATCTATGGTATAATTTGCTAAGAGAACAAAACAGCTATTGTAATTCAATTATTTTTAATACTTGTAAGTTCAGTGGATGGGTTTTTATAAAATATAATCGGATTTAAAATGTATTGTTATAACAGCATTTCAAGAAATTAATTGTTCATAGGAAAGTAAGTATCCTTAAATTTCTACTAGAACAAATGTTTGTCATTAAATAAATATTACACATATTTCTGAAAATTATCTTAGATATGGACATCACAAAATAAAAACAATCATCATTATTTTAGACATTTTAATCAACTGACTATATCATCGTATTTTGTATTATATATTTTTAGTCTTAAAATGATATTTACTCAATAATTAAATGTTTGACATTTAGAGATTATTTTCTTTATATAATAAAAATATTTTCTTTATTAAAAATTGTTATATATAACATAATTCTTTTGATACAAATTGTAATATTGCCATCGATTATTAGTATATGGACTGAATTTAGGCTTATTATTGGAGCGATGTTTTTTAGCTTCTATGCGAAGCTGGGAAGGTATTAATTTTACTATGATATTTTTTTTTTATATTTTATTTTTGTACACTCAAAAATTGAAAAAAATCCCCTCGTTCCTGTAAATGGGGGAATCTCTAAAAAAGTTACAAATTTAAAAACCGCTAATTTTCGAAATTTTTTCAATTTTTTTTTTAAAAAACTTCCATAGCTTTTTCAAAAATCAATATATCATAATTTTTTTTTTTATAATAAAACCTCAGATATTTCCCTTTCATTTGATATTATTTTTTTGAAAATCTAACACATAACCTACTCACAAGGAGAGATTTATAATAGTAACTTTTTTGTTAAAAATTTACTTTTTCAATAAAATATTTGAAAATGTTTCGTAAAAACTGCGTCCTTTAAACATAAGTCATATTAAAGATTATAATAAATATAACTCTGTGATAAATTATTCAGAGATAGACTGATAAATATATACATAGATTACGTTTTACGTTAGATAATATTTTACGTAATTATTTTGTTCTTATATTATAAGAACGTTATATTGTATATTAGGACCAATTACAAAAAGGTGAACAATCGGCTGACAATAGGCAGTAGAGTAATATTAACCCACATTTTTGCGTGTAGCACAAGTGTAAGTAGATGTGCATAAATTTTGAGGGAAACAGTTCGTTCTATAACATCGGCCACAACGTAAAAAGAGTTATTTAGACATGAAAATACACTGCTTGAAGTATGTGACTTCAAAAGGGGTGTTTACTACCACAAAAGATTACATATTTGGGTAAACTTCCATGATAAGCAAATTATGACACAGCATTTTATTAGACCTGATGACAGTAACGTTGATAATTANAGCAAATTATGACACAGCATTTTATTAGACCTGATGACAGTAACGTTGATAATTATTATATAGAAATGTTATTTGATTATTTATTTTCGTTAAATGAATAATATGAATATTTATAATTTATATTTTTATTTTTAATATCATTAGAATAATAAATATTTGTGCATAATAATAATTATGATATACGTACTCTAATTTATAATGACCGTAAGCTTAGATAGTAATACAGTCTATTAGATGCATTAATTGATAATGGACTTTGGTTTGGACTTAAGCATTATTAATAGTACATTCCAATTCATGTAGCTTTTTTTTAACATTTTCTATATTTAATAAGACTCTGCACTCATCCACCGTTCTGGATTCCAACACTAAATGGTTATTATTGCGAAACAGCGCTTCAGATATTTTAATTTCAGCGTCTTTGGTATAATATATTATTGGGTTTGTTTTTGATTTGTTAAATCACAAATTCCTGTATACTATCCCTTTTATTCCTCCTTAAGTATTTACACTTTATTATAGTAATAATAAATTTTAAACTCA